TTTTTTTGAGACAGAGTCTTGCTTTGTTGCCCAAGCTACAGTGCAATGGTGTCATCATAGCTCACTGCAACCTCAAACTCCTGGGCTTAAACAGTCCTTCTGCCTCAGCCTCCATGGTAGCTAGGACTATAGGTTTGTGCCCCCACACCTGGCTAATTTTTCTATTTTTTGTAGAGAGTAAGGGTCTCACTATGTTGCCCAGGCTGGTCTCGAACTCCTAGGCTCAAGCAATCCTCCCACCACTGCCTCCCAAAGTACTAGGGTTACAGGTGTGAGCTACCACACCTGGCCTATATTTACTTTTTAAACTTTTTTGTTAAGAACTAAGACATAAACACACACATTAGCCTAGGCCCACACAGGGTCAGGAACATCAATATCACTGTCTTCCATCTCCATATCTTGTTCCGCTGGAAATTCTTCACTGGCAATAACATGCATGAAGCTGTCATCTCCTGTGATAACAATGCCTTCTTCTGGAATGCCTCCTGAAGGACCTATCTGAGGCTGTTGTACAGTTTTTTATAAGTAGAAGTACACTATAAAAAAACAATAAAAAGTACAGTATAGTAAATACATAGACCAGTAACATAGTCATTTATTAAATATTATCATTATCAAGTATTATACCTAATTATATGTGCTAGACTTTTATACGACTGGCAGCGCGGTAAGTTTGTTTATACCAGCATCACCACAAACCAGTGAGTAATGTTTTGCACCATGACAACGTGACATCAGTGACAACATCCCTAAGTGATAGGAATTTTTCAGCTCCGTTATAATCTATGGGACCACTGTCATATATGTGGTCTGTTACTGACCGAAACATCCTTACGTGGTGTATGACTGTACAAATGTAACTTTTTAGACAAAGATTCATTTGAGAGAAAATCATTGCCTTTTTCAGGTGGTATGATATGTAGTATGGTTCATTCAGAAGAACACAGAATTGTGTTATGATTCTAGCTTTGCCATTTATTTCAATATATAATGCTGCTTATGTTACTTAGCCACATACTTTCTTTCTAATCTATAAAACAAGATTAAAAAATACCTGCCTTGCCAAGGTAATAAAGATTTTAGTGAGAATGAATGCAGATAATGTATATAATTACTTTAAAATTTTTAGAATACCATACAAATGTAAGTTGACAATTACTATTAAACTATACATTTATGTTAGTACCATGGGGTAGGTTATTCTGGTTTGTTTTAATAGGGTTTCAGTGGTGCCCGAAGTTGCTTGGTATCTTAGGAGCTCAATGTGAGCTTCATATATTAGCTTTATAAAATTTTAATTTTCAGTAAATTTCACTCAATTTTCAAATATATGAACTTTCTAAACATTGAACTAAATCAACAGAAATATGGCTCTAGCCTAATCCTTAAATATTTAGCTTATCTTGCCAATGATGGGCTTTTAATTGGAAAGTCTTTTAATTTGAAAGTCTAATTTTAACAAAATGGACAATGCAGTTTTTATGAATTTGGATAGAAACTTCTAAAAGTATATTCTTTATTTTAATGAAATTTTTGCTTTTCATGTAGTTTTTATACACACACACACACACAAACACACACACATAAAATATAACAACAGTGGCCTATTTCTTGATGTAATGCCTTCAAAAGGAAATATGAGCCAGGTGTGGTGGTGCATGACTCAGGAGGCTGAGGTGGGAAGATCACTAGAACCCAGGAGTTTGGGGCCAGCCTGGGCAACATAGCAAGACCCCATCTATAAACAAAAAAAAAGGAGATAGAACTGTCTTACTTACTGACTTCATATAAGGCCTTTTGATTATCATTAATTTTAGTTGCTTAGTAAGATTTTTAGCTTAAGGAAGACCTTAGATGTTGCCTTTTATAGACTAATAGTGAAGACTTTCTGAAAAATTGTTTATCAAATAATGTCTTCATGTAAACTGTTAATAAACATCTTTACGTTAAAGAAAATTGGATTCATTATACTTGAATGAACAGTTGACTCTGCTATGTCTACTGTGAATTGTTTTAATTAACATATCCTCCTTTTATAACATTTTCTGCTTGAGTAGATATAAATATAAATATTAAGAAATAATATGTTTTTCTTATGTTCATAGACTATAGGAAGAGGCAGAGCTCTTCTTCTTCAAGCAAAGGTAAAAATCCTAAATCTACCTTTTCCCAGTGACCCTTCTTATCCTGTGCAGGGTACACCTGAGTCTGAGTTCAAGGTCTGTGAAGTGATGTTTTGGTTAATAATATGTCTGGAAAGGAGAAGTGATAACTAATTGAATCAGTGAGCACTTAATTTTTAAGTGAGATTACCAAGATCATAAGAAACTCCTGTGAAATCATTCATCCTGCTGTAGAAATACTCTAGTCTTAGTGTTAGAAAATAACTTTTGATTTCCTATCTACGTTCTTGAATTAAGAATTTCCAACAGTAGCATGCATTGAGCACAACCTAAGACTACTGTTTCAAGGATCACATGAGGAAAATTTTCCAAAGGGAACATTGTTGACATTCAGCTGACAGTTTTCAAATGAACACAGAGTTTGAGTTTTGGCAAATAAGAAAATCAAGTGGACGAGAAGCCTTTACTAGGAGTGTAAGGGATTTGACTTTGGGAAGTACACACAAGTTAGTTAGTGTGGTTTACGCTGCAGTGCCCTGTGCAAGCTTAGCTAACAGAGTCCGTAAATATCTTTCTTTGCTCTTAACAGGAGGATTTCTCTGGCTACGACTTTGAAAACAGATTGCATGTCCGCATCCATGCTGCTCTGGCCTCTCTGAGGGAACTGGTTCCTCAGTGACAGACCCGGCGTGCCAGCTCTGTCCCTCCCCACTCAGGGTCTGCACTTTAAAATAAAAGCAGAGGACAAAGCTCTTGCGAAGATCGGCTTTTCTTCTGAAAACCACCTGTGCCAGGGACACATTTTCCCAGTTAAGCTGACATATTAAAGATCTCTTTTAAACATATAGTTAAAAGGTAATAATGGTGATGATGATGATGATAATAACTAACCACCTGGGGAGTGGGTTAAGTGACCTTGTTCAAACATTTTAGTTTTGTGATTTATTATTTTTAAAATAAAATCGAACTAAATATTCAACCTATGGTCTTGTAGGAACGCCTACCTTAAACACATATCTGAATGGGTAACATTACGAGGTAGTAATTGTAAAATTATTAACAGTATCATGACATAGCATTTATATTGTGTTTTGAAAAAATAAAAGTGCTTTCTAGTGTTTTACTTTATCCTCAGAATAGTCCTGTGAATCATGTAGCACAGATATTCTTATCCCCATTTTATGGGCAATGAAACTCAGGCACAAAAAGGCTAATTGGCTTTTAATTATTAATTTAATTAATTATTCCTATTAGCAGAGCAATGAATAGAGAGTAGATTTCCTGACTACCAACTAAATATTCTTTTATTGTAAAAATAATACATGTTAATAACACAGAATTCCATGTTTGTTTTTTTTTTTGAGACAGAATCTCACTCTTTTTGCCCGGGCTAGAGTGAGTGCCGTGGCGTCAGCCTAGCTCACAGCAACCTCAAACTCCTGGGCTCAAGTGATCCTCCTGCCTCAGCCTCC